TCTCGGATTCCGCGACATAAAAATTTTAAACTGAATTATTCGTGTATTTACACGGAACGAAACCGATGATAATTACGATGATTGCATGTACTTACAACTGTAAATAATTGTGCGATTAATCCACTTATTGATATTTTCATTCGTTTACAGATAAGTATAGTATTTATCCCAATCTAACGATTATACGCGTAAAACGAATAATTCTTTATTCGCAGTTTAATTGAGAGTTTTCCCACGCACAATATTCTCGTGTAGAGCTGCGAGAGAGTAGTAGATTACTTTATTTATATTAATTAATGAAGACTAAAATGTGCACCAAAAGATATTTGATTAATTATCAAATTTCGGATGTGTTAAAATATAGCATTGATGGTTAACGCAATTGCAAGTCACAATACTATGCGACTGTCCATTTAACTTTTTAAATTGCCACTAAATAATTTATAAGCGATATTGTATTAATAATAACAAATAAAAAATAATACTAAAATATCGTGAAAAATATAGCCGTGATCTAATTAATGCAAATTATTTTTTTACGAAAAAAATTATTTAACTCTAAAAAACCATTTATTTTAAAGCTCACAGATAAAATTATGATACTGTTAACAAATACTTAAAATTATCATTCGCGGTGTGCATTCTTGTAACTTTGAGAAATCAAATTTGAGAAATCATTTCATTAAATGATTCGTTCGATAAAATCACAATTTTATATGTCGTATAATTGTTCGAAATAAAGAATCGTTCGGAACGACGTCGAGATGCAAGGGCCATCGTGCGTAGCAATTGTGTTTTTTTTTATCGTCGTACCTTGATGCACTTCGCCAGGATATTCTCTGGTGGAGAAGTTGATAAAAGGGATGTATCGAGCATACATGATGCTTGTGAACAATTTCGCTCAAACGGGATTCTGTTGCGATCGTCCTCGTTAAAATCGCTGGATGGACGGAAAGTCGTCATTTACGATTACATCGTCAAGTTTTCCTCAAACGCATCGTCATCTCTTAAATGCTTTTGCCGAAGGCATATTTTATCAAATGTTGAAATTATTATATTAATTATAACAATAGTGACATTGGTTATTTTTATAACCTTTTATTTTAACTTTTTCACGCTTAGAGAAAATATTTTTCGTTTTTCATTTGTGATGCGTAAATATAAATAAAATAAAATAAAATTTAAAAATCTTGATATTATTATTTAGTGATTGTTTTGAATCAACATTCAAGTCATTTAGTGATAATCAAATCATTTTATAATTTTTAAATAAACTGACAAAAAAAATGCGAGAATAAAACAATTCCTGTAAGCTTTTGCATTCCCCTTTTATTTTTACATCTTTATCTATATATTTTATACATTTTGTTACCTTTATCGATTATATTTTATTATCTTTTATTATCTTATTTTATTGTATTTTAATTGTGAAAAATATTCAATGTATGACATGTATGTCAATTTTTAT